TCGAAAAGCTGATATTTGGGACAGTCTGGGGGAAGGGAAGAAGGGAAAGAGGAAGCAAGAGAGACTGACGGGGAAATGTCGAGGTGGTACAGCAGGATAATGGAATGCCGAGCAGGGCGGGTGGAGAAGAGCGAGCGGACGCAGAACCGCGGTGGTGGGATGCAGCAGTGCGAGTGCAGGGGGCGATGGAGATTGGCGCGCACCTCGGACGGGGATCCATGGATGCTTGGAAATCGGGCGATTGTCGGATGGGCGTTGAGCGCTGCCACTTTGCGTAGGTGGCCGACGGCCGGCGGGTTGAACCAGGCGTTGAACTGCCCTTAGGTGGTAGTGCCTTGGGTTTCGTCCTTCCAACAGAATATTTCTTAGAGACAGTTGGCAGTTGTCTGTTCGTTTCTTGTTGCTCCCGTGATCCAAGTGGGAGATTCACCGTGGAGGAACACCTTATTGAACCCTTCGCTGGCTGAGATGCCGTGATACTCCTCGACAGAAGGACCTCTGTTCCGGGTCTTGGGGGCCACGGTGCTGCGTTCCCAGAGAGGTCGGTCCGCGGTCTCAAGCTCTAAAGTCCGGGGTACACTAGTAGCACTGGACATAACTCCATGCCCCGACACCAACACCCGTTGGCGGGCAAGGTCCAGCGTGGTGTCATCACTTTTTTGCTCATCTTGGGGATAAGATAAGCGCACAGAGGCGAAGAGGATACCCGGCCTAGGGTACGTATCGTCTTGACGGCATCGAGCTGGATCCGGCTGGCAATGACAGACTTGAGTGTCTCTGCCAGCTGGCAGGCCGAATGGACATCTAAGGTAGCCAGGCTTGCCAGGACCCTTTGCCCCTCCAGCTCGTCTCCTCACCAAAAAGTTGTGAGCGGAGCTTGGAAAATTTCAGGGAGCATTTGTTGAGGCGTCCTTCGGCTGCGCAGCCGTCATTATCAGCACATCACATTCCGATCACGCACTGCTCCAACCCAATCCTGTGAAGTCTTGCAGGATGCTGGCCCCAAAATGATACACTCAAAGGCCCGATGAGTTGGGGTGATGAGCTGGCTACTGAGGCTTGAAAGTAAAGTCATAAACATGTCCTAGCCCCTCACTTGGACCATCTCGGTCCGGTATCCGAACATCGACTATTTACAACGGGGACATTTTGGAACTCGATGATGGCCGCCTCAGCCGTAGGTAATCCATTGCCCCCTGCCGAGGCGCACCTTGCAGAACCAAGCAAGCAGTACGTTAGGTAGCCAAGGTAGACAAGCACTTCAAAAGATGAAGGGCACCGCACCCTGAATTGGCAACAAAACAACCCAAGGCCGATACCGCCGATCTGTCCTCCACACGACGCCATCTAGACGGCCCACGTCAGTCTCGACCAAGGGACAAGTCAGATTTCAGGCAAAGGGAATCTGCATCAGTTCGTTGTAGCTGCTGCGGTCCACGTCCACGGCGGTGCCGTAGCCTCTGGTGGCCGGCATCCGGCTTATTCTGGCCCCTCTAATCCCATCGCCGACACGGGCAAAGGGCAACACTTCGCGCAGCCCAGCGGACCAGAACAACATGGAAGCACCGCCAGACGGCTGCTCGTCCAAAGGCAAGTTGCCAGCAAGCCCAGCGGGATTCACAATGTTTAGCCAGCTAAGCCCGGCATGACCCACCGATCTACAGGAGACCGCCGGTGTCTTCTTTGCTACCCATGTGGCGATGGCAGAGGCGAGCCAATCAGCTGTCTGTCTTGGGCCAAACAGTGGGCGGCCAGGCTGGTCCGGGCTCAGCCCAGCACACTCAGCACCAAGATTCGAGAAAAAGGTACTTTCCAGAAAGATACGTACCGGGATCTGGACGCAAGCTGTGCTGTGCTGCGGCCCTGCGGAGCGTGCCAACTGCCTTCGGTGCCTCGTCCGTGCTTGCGTGCTCTCCAGCGTCCCGCTGTCTCTGCAGAAGTACCCAGTGTACTGCAAACAAACCCCGAGTTGCGAGAGAGATACGCAGTACAGAGGGAGGAGACGGCACCAGCGAACGAGAGACAAGGAGGCAAAACCCCGTGATTTCGCACGTGCTGCACCCGGTCCCTGGACCCCCCCGGAATGGGTGGTTTCGGAAGCCAGGGACAAGTCGTGGTAGCACCCCATTTGATGCGATCGGTTGCCCTCCATTCCAGAATTCTTGAGTCGTTTCGCATCGCATTACATCTCCCCGTCCTTCCTCTTCATCACTGTTCTGTACTTAGTTTGTAGTATATTGCCTACATACACCACGTCGCCCATGACCGTTGCTCTACGGTAGCTTGTCGATTATTCCCACCCACTTTACCCACCAACCAGCTGCTGCACCTCCTTACCCTCGAATTTGCCATCAAAGGACTGCTGCAGAATGAGCGCCTCAGCAAATGTCGCTCGTCGGGCGGTGATTGCGAATCCGTTCCTGGGCAACGGTAAGCCAGACCTCCTGCATCTGCCCCTCGACACTGCCTCCTGTCTTGGGCGACTCTGAATGTTTTCTCTGACTCTCTGCAGCGCGTGCGCTGTCCACTCTCGGTGTTTCGCCAGCTGTGCTCGGCCGAAACGCAAGGCACCTGCCTCGTCGAACAAACGCCCTCGCAATTCTCGTTCCCCTCCGCCAACTGGGTACCGATCACCACAACCACGGCCAACACTCTGGCCCGCCGCCGGGCTTCAATGTGGAGGAGGCTAAGAAACCTCTCCCCAAGGAGACGGCGACAGCAGCCAAGACCGAGTCCAAGGCGACAAAGGAATCCAACGATGCCTCTCAATCCGAAAAGTCAGCCTCCGGCGACAAGGCTCTTGCCGACAAGGCCGACTCCGATGCTTCATTGACCGAACTCGCTGCCGCCAAAAACGCCGCCGTTGAGACAAAGAAGGATGGGAAGAAGGACGAGAAATTGACCGTATGGCAGAAGGTCAAGAAGGAGGCTCACCACTACTGGGATGGAACGAAGCTGCTTGCCGCCGAAGTCAGGATCAGCACCCGCCTCGCCCTGAAGATGGCTGCTGGATACGAACTCAGCCGGAGAGAGAACAGGCAGCTGCGCCGCACTGTCCAGGACCTTGGCCGCCTGGTCCCATTCTCCATGTTCGTCATCGTTCCTTTTGCCGAACTTCTTCTCCCCGTCGCCTTGCGGCTCTTCCCCAACATGCTTCCCAGCACGTACGAGGGCCAAAAGTCCAGGGATGCCAAGGCCAACACACTGAGGGCGACGCGCAAGGAGGTCAGCGAGTTCCTCCGATCTAGTCTTAAGGAGACTGGACTGCCTTTAACCCCCGCAACCACCCAGAGTGAGGCTTTTACGGTCTTCTTCAGGAAGCTCCGCTCTTCCGGCGAGTCGCCGACTCACGAGGATGTCATCAAGGTCTGCAAGATCTTTAAGGACGACCTCACTCTCGACAACCTGTCAAGACCCCAGCTGGTCTCCATGTGCAGGTACATGAACCTCAACACTTTTGGCACGGACAACATGCTCCGTTACCAAGTCAGGCACAGAATGCGCCAGATCAAGAGAGACGACAGGCAAATCAGCTACGAGGGCGTTGACAGCCTGACCGTGGCCGAGCTGCAGGTGGCGTGTGCCAGCCGCGGCATCCGCACGCACAGTGTTTCCCCTGCGAGAATGCGCGAGTACCTGCAGCAGTGGCTCGACCTCAGATTGAAGGACGGTGTTCCCTCGACTCTGCTGGTCTTGAGCAACGCCTACATGTACGGCCAGGTCCCTGCCCACAGCCAGATTGAGGCCCTCGTCGGCGTCCTCTCCTCCATCCCTGATGAGCTCTTCCACGAGATCTCTCTTGAGGTGCACACTGCCGAGGGCGCTGCCACGAACAAGCAGCGCCTCGAGGTTCTCAAGGAGCAACAAGAGCTCATTGACGAGGAGAACAGCCAGAACGAGGAGAACGCCAGCACCGGCTTTGCCACGCCTCGCGATGTAGACAACATCGACGAGAAGGAGGACAACCAGTCTGCTGAGGCTCAGGCGGCACCCAAGAGCCAGGCTCAGGAGGCCAAGGAGGCCGAGCAGGAGATGCTGGCGGCGAGGGACCAGACCGCCCAGACTGAGAAGAAGGCGGAGAAGAGCGACCAATAGATCGCTTCACAGCTGCAGACAAGCACATTTCCTTTTCTTTGTTAGACGTGTATGGCATAAGGCTGGGTAGCGTGTACTAAAACAGGGTTCATGACACCCAGGGGAACAGCACAGGTCACTAGAAAGATCCATCTCAGGAAACCACCAACAAATAGATTCCACTACTGTACAACGGGGACGGATATTGTGTAAATGCCACCACTATTTATGTAGAATACCTACAAGAATGAAATGAACTCTTGACCATCTTGGTGCAGACTCCTCCAGTTCCTCCCGTGTCTTCGGTCCTCTGGTCTCAGCCTGGCCAAAGCTTCGCTGTCAACTGCCAATCGAAACGGGTGACTATCAGGTGGAAAAGGAAGAAGAAAAAAGCGGTCCCTGACCTGGCTATGGCTGGCTTCGGTGCCAGTCCAAGAGGTTGCACCGCTCTGTCTGCGGCTTCGTCATAGCCTCCCGAAACTGGGGTCCAGGCAGGAGTTCCGAGTGTGTTGCCCGGCTGCTAGCGAGTGACCTCAGCGCTTGCCGCTTCCAGAGTGATTTTGTGGGTACCCGAGTGCTCCCCCGCTATCGCGCTGCCCCAAGCTTGCAGCGTCACCAACGTACGGTGCGGCGACAGCACAGGCAGCTCCCTCCAGGTCCCATTCCCCACCACTGCCGCCGACGCTTCCTGCCATTGTCCGGCAGACAAGACGATCGCTCCGCCATCCCTTCTTTCCCTGCGACAACCTAATTAATCGACGTTCAAATTCCGGACCTCGGTCTCTGTGGCGGCGACGGCGATTTATCTTATCCCCTGAGCAAATCTGTTGCGCGATCCAAGCTTGACCCATCATCCCCCGTTTCGATCTGCGATACCCTCAAACGACAACGACGACGTAACCCCACGTCCGCCCCAGCTGGACGCCATGGCGGTCCTCGATCAACACCACGATGACTTCTCCAACGTGTCTTGGCACACGGAGCAAAACGAAGCTGCCGAGAGCTCCAGCTCTGTGACAGGCCCCAACCCCGACGATTCCGACCGCAACGGACACTCTGCATTCGACAGCGACACCGCAGACACCACCGGCCAGGAGGTGCTGGATTGCACCGTCTCTGAGCCTCTCAAGGAGAATGATGGCTCCAAGGATACCTTTGTCTCATACCTCATTACTACCAATGTAAGGCAATTGGCAAGCTTTGTGCTTGTGTTCTGCAGGGCTGCTACCGAGAGGTGTTTGCGCGCTAACACAGCTACCACAGACGACCTTTGCTACCTTTCAGAGATCACAAGCATCAGTCCGCCGTCGGTTCACAGATTTTGTCTTCCTGTATAAGGTGCTGAGCAGAGACTATCCTACCGCGGCAGTACCTCCCCTTCCCGACAAGCAGCGTATGGAATATGTCAGCGGCAACCGCTTCGGCCCTGACTTTACCAACCGTCGAGCGCATTCCCTCCAACGTTTCCTTACCCGTCTGTCCCTCCACCCGGTACTTCGTCGCGCCGATATCCTCCACATCTTCCTCGAGAGCCCAGACTGGAATGCTACGATGCGCAGCCGCAGTACGAGAGGATCACAGAGCAGCGACGCCGGCAGCAGTGGTGTCTTCGACAACCTTACGGATAGTTTCCTCAATGCGTTCACGAAGGCCCACAAGCACGACAAGCGGTTCCTAGAGGTGCGCGAGAGAAGCGACAGACTCGATGAGGACTTGGCCCACATTGAGAAGGTAGTCGCAAGAGTGGCTCGCCGAGAGAACGACATCGAGTTAGACTTCAAGGATTTGGCGGAGCAGTTCCAGAAGCTGATTACCCTCGAGCCCGGCGTCGAAAACGAGGTCAGGCACTTTGCCAACTCGGTCGAGGACACTGCAATGGGCTTGCGCAAGCTCAAGGACGTCACAGACCAGGACTACCTCGGCAGTCTCCGTGACATGCAAGCTTACAGCACGGCACTGAAGAGCCTCCTGAAGGCTCGTGAGCAGAAGCAGGTGGACTATGAGCAGCTCACAGGCTACCTTAACAAGGATACCGCCGACAGAGACTCGCTCCAGTCAGGCGGGGGTGGTGGCGGCCTGTCAGGTGCCAGCGGTAGACTGATGCGCAAGCTCGAAGACGTACGTGGAGTCGACCACGAGCAGTCACGCCGCGACAGACAACGCAAGCTAGAGATGAGCATCGACAAGCTTACTATCGAGGCGGAGCGAGCCAAGAAGACAAGTGAGATGTTCGACGACGAGGTTGTTAAGGAGGTCTCCGATTTCGAACGCATCAAGCGGGTTGAATTCAAGAAGCAGCTTGGAGGTCTCGCGGACTCTCACATTGAATTTTACGACGAGGTCATTGAGATCTGGGAGGGATATGTCAAGGCGATGGAGAAGGAGGGCGTCTCGGGCACTCGCAGCACCGGCGTTGAACCTCCTGGCCGGCGATTGGCGGACTAGAGGGGGCGTTTCGAGGTTCCATGGGCTTAATCCTGAGCCACGGCACGACATATGGCTTGAAGAAGGACGTCAAAGAACAAAAGAGCGAAGGAGGTACAGCCCGGTTATTGGGTTGTTGTGTGTTGGAATATGTATTTGCTTCAGATGGCACCGGGACATGGCTTTCGGAGAGACAGCAGAGAAGGCCGGCCATTCAGCGGGAGTATCGGGACAGTGGCACTTTTCGGATCCCGTCATGGAGGGCTGGACATTAATCATGAAAAGGGGATCGCAACTCTGCTGATAACGAATATTATTACTTTTTTCTTGGTAGAAAGACGTTGGCGAGCTCTCTTGACGATCAAACCTTACCCGAGCCGTGTCTTTGGGAGCTTGCCAAGGCAAAGTGACGGACAGGGCATCCATTGTGTTGCTATGTGATGTTCTGAGTCGACTTGGTCAAATGCAGCTACCGAGTCTGGCTTTTGCATCCAGCCCGTCTGTAGCTGACATTCAGGGTCTTGGTCATTCATGCAGAAGCAAGGATGGCCGATGCAAGACAAAGAAAAATGTTTACCATCCGGTCGCGCCAAACATTTCAGATGTAGGAACATGAGTCTTACCGTGCTGGAGGTGGCTGTCAAGACTCGTGTAGATTGAAAACAAGGACGTTTACCGCGTGCGTGCAGGCATATTCAGGCGAGAGACATTGGAGAGAGAGTCAAGAATGGCCACTACCGCTACCAACCACCGCCGCCGCCGCCGGCCGAGAAAACCAGGCTGGAGGACATCAGAGAGTTTCATGAGTCTGCCCGTCCAGCATGAGGGGAGAGCATGCTGCGAACTCGATGTTACTTATTATATCGCAAGGGCTAGCGTGTTATAAGGTGGTAACGTGGTGTGTGTGAGGAGGACGGCAGTGGTGGGGGAGGGTGTTCGAGGACGGGAGCCGATTCCGAAACGATTGACTGTGTCAAGCGCCAAGGCCCAGCGCGGCGGGAGGCGGAAAGAGAGGAAGACCCCAGAGTGCAGAGGGTGCTCTTCTCTTGGCGAGATTCTGTGATTTGATGTCTGAGTGTTTGGACCTTTGAGCCAAGACTGAGAGGGCGAGTGGGAAGGTGAGGAATAGTTACAAGTTGTCTGAGATGTTTTTTTTTTGGCATTTTTTTTTTTCCCTATTTGATTTCAATTGATGGATGGGCTCAGTGAAGGGACAGGTACGAGTACGATTCCGATCTCCTTATTGTACGCATCGTGGCATTTTAGGGGAAATAAGCATGTGCACAGCTGCATTTCGAATTACGAACACTGCTGACGGTACGTATCCAAAATCTGCATTGCCTGGGCTGGGGGATCTTCAGCGCGGCGCAACCGTCAACAGGAAGAGGCGAGACGAAGGAAAAAAAAAAATAGCAATCGGAACCAGGCACCAGGCAAAGCAATTCAGGGTCGCTCGCCGCGCGGCGTGGCCAATGGGGCGTCGACATCGGTGCTGCGCCAGTGTTGAAACGGCAGTGTGGGCGGTGGACTCTGCTGCACCTGAATCGCTGCCTTCCCGTTCTGTAAGATCAGAGGTCAAAGGTCCCGTTCCTCCAGAGATTGATGCATCGTTGGACGCGAAGTACCTCATCCCGAGATGTGCGCAGTCTTCGTCAGCTGGGAGGCTGTGAGAGGTACCTGTTCCTGATCCTCAGGGACGCTTGGGGGCGGCTGCTTGCTCACCCACCTAGGTACTTACGTACTTGTTAGGTACCTTGGGGCGTCTTGTGCTAGGCTATGTGCGGGCTTAGAAGGGTAGGTAGCATTGTGGGTGCCTTGTCCGCGCTTTATGTTCCTGCCGTTTTCGAGAAGGCCACGAAACAATCATCTGGCAGAGGTCGTCCTGCCGTTCCAGATGCCCACTCCACCCATTTTTTACCTGAACATCAACTGACTTTGGCTTGTACTTCTGCATTTTACCTTTTCTCACTCCCTGCGCTCTTTTACTCCCCTTTCCCTTTGAACAAACGCTACCTTATTTTTTGTTGACCCGTCATTTGCTGCAGCCGCTGCATTTACGCTCGTCGTGGCCCTGGCGTCCCCTATCGCATATTGGCACAAAGTACACCCGCGGACGATGAAACGAGGCTTCCCCGCTGTTTCTTACGCGTGAACTCTGGCCTTTTAAGTAATAACCGATCCAGCGAGCCACTCGCAATCTGCTTTGCCAAGCAGATAGACCGTATTCCTGCTCTGTACAGCGGTGCTTTGTGCTGTTCCAGCTTCGACTCCGGCTCTGGAAGAACGATACAGGATTGAGAATTAAAACGTCGCGCCGGAACCTGGGAACCCAGCAGAAGCTTTGGCCATCTTCAAGGGCGGCCCTTGCCACTTGCGACTCGACCACGTCTCGTCTTCCACTCTCCCCCAGCCTTAGACGGGCCCAGTTCGCTCCTTTGTTCCCCTAATCGAGGTACGATCTTGCGTGTTATTTTACACTTCATCACCTTATCTTTTTTCTTTCTACCGTGTTGCAATCGCGATCTGGCTGTAGTTTGGTGTTGGATGCTGACGCCAATCTGTCCTCAGCTTCGCCCCTTCTGCACATCCCTCCCATTCCCTTCGAGGGGTCTACGGTAGCCCACCATGAAGCTGTCCGCGGTTCTCCTCGGCCTGCTCGGCCTCGCTGCCGGTGCATCGGTTCGAAACTACGAGACAAACGACTACTATGTTCTCGAGCTGGATTCGTCTACGACTCCCGACCAGGTTGCCGGTCGCCTGGGCCTGCGCCACGAGGGGTCTCTCGGCGGCCTCGACGGCCATCACATCTTCTCCGCGAGAAAGGAGTCGCAGGATATCGTCAAGCCTGCCCTGCAGGCGCGGAGGATGAGGAGGCGAGGACTTGGCGGTTCCGACCCCCTCGATGGCGTTCGTCTCGCACAGAAGCAGCAGCTTCGCAAGCCCTGGGAGAAGAGGGTGCCCCCGCGCCTGCACGGCCCCAAGAACTTCGCTCGTCAGGAACAGGCGGATCCTGGAATGGTTGAGCAGATGAACAAGATCATGCAGACCCTGAACATCGCCGACCCCATCTTCAACGAGCAGTGGCATCTGCTCAACACTGTCCAGAAGGGACACGACATCAATGTCACGGGTGTCTGGACCCAGGGCATCACGGGCAAGAACGCGACTGTTGCCATTGTTGACGACGGCTTGGATATGTACAGCGATGATCTGAAGCCCAACTACTACGCCGCCGGCTCCTACGACTTCAACGACCACCGCGAAGAGCCGAAGCCTACGCTGAGCGATGACAAGCACGGCACTCGCTGCGCCGGTGAGGTCTCTGCCGCGCGAAACAACGTCTGCGGTGTCGGAGTCGCATACGAGTCCAAGATTGCCGGTATCCGTATCCTGAGTAAGCTCATTTCAGACGCCGATGAAGCCGTCGCCATGACGTACGACTACCAGCACAACGATATCTACTCCTGCTCCTGGGGACCCCCGGACGACGGTCGATCGATGGACGCGCCAGGTATCCTGATCAAGCGTGCGATGCTTAAGGGCATTCAGCAAGGTCGTGGCGGAAAGGGATCGATCTACGTCTTTGCTAGTGGAAACGGTGCCGCCAATGATGATAACTGCAACTTTGACGGATATACGAACTCCATTTACAGCATCACTGTTGGTGCCATCGACAGAAAGGGACAGCACCCGTACTACTCCGAGAAGTGCTCAGCTCAGCTCGTTGTTACCTACAGCAGTGGCAGCGGAGATGCCATCGTAAGTGACGATACTTTGTAGCGTAATGAAGCACGACTAACAACTTGGCAGCACACCACCGATGTTGGCACTAACGCCTGCTACAACGGCCACGGAGGCACTTCCGCCGCAGCCCCGTTGGGCGCTGGTGTCTACGCTCTTGTTCTCGAAGCCCGTCCCGATCTGACCTGGAGAGACATGCAGTGGCTCGCCATGGACACGGCTGTGCCTATCGACGAGGAGAAGGGCGAGTGGCAGCCAACCAAGATTGGCAAGAAGTTCAGCCACACGTATGGATACGGCAAGATCGACGCATATGCCATGGTCGAGGCGGCCAAGAAGTGGAAGAACGTCAAGCCTCAGGCTTGGTACTACTCTCCTTGGGTGCACGTCAACAAGCCTATTCCCCAAGGCAAGGATGGTGTTGCCGTCAGTTTTGAGGTTTCCGCCGATGCTCTCAAGCAGGCCAATCTGGAGAGAGTGGAGCATGTGACGGTCACTATGAACGTGAACCACACCCGCCGTGGTGACTTGAGCGCGGACTTGATCAGCCCCGAGGGTGTTACCAGTCACCTTTCTGTAACCCGCAAGATGGACTCTGCTCGTTCCGGATATGTTGACTGGACCTTTATGAGCGTTGCGCACTGGTGAGTCTCGTCTAGATGTCATGTTTGAAGGATAGATGCTAATCCTGGATTAGGGGCGAGTCTGGTATTGGCAAGTGGACTGTTGTCGTCAAGGATTCCCAGGAGAACGAGCACCAGGGCACCTTCATCGACTGGCACCTCAAGCTCTGGGGTGAGTCGATCGATGCCACCAAGGCCACTCTTCTTCCCATGCCTACCGACGACGACGACAACGACCACGCTTTGGTTGCGACCACTAGCCTGCCCGCAGCTACCACATCGATTGAGCACCCTGCGCAGCCTACCGACCAGCCTGTCGTTCCTACGGATCACCCCAACCGACCGACCAAGGTCCAGAGCGGTGGTACCCCTGCCGCAACGGGCCCGGCGACGGGCACTGAGGACGCCGCGACAACGACGACCAGCCCCTCTAACTGGGTGTCTTGGCTGCCGTCGTTTGGCAAGGCCGGTGTCTGGGTGTATGGCGCGCTTGCTCTTATCGCTGTCTTTTGCTCTGCTCTCGGTATCTGGTTCTACATCCGCAAGCGTCGCAACAGCCAGCCTCGCGACAACTATGAGTTCGAGCTCCTTAATGAGGACGAGACCGAAGGTCTGAATGGCGAGAAGCGCACGCGCGGCCGTGAGCTGTACGATGCGTTTGCTGGTGACGACGAGGACGATGATGATGACAGCAGCGAGTATCACGACGGGGATCGTGATCGTTCAAGAGAAGGACGTGGCAACAGGGAAACGGATAGGTTAACTGAAAAATAGGCGTACGGCTGCATGGGACGTTTTGCATAGAAATACCTTTACTCTTGTTTTTTTTTTTCAACTTCTTGTCGCATTTCTCGGTAGTTGACTCAATTGACTTAGACTGTGGTTGGCGTCTGAGGCTCAACCAATCAATTGTATAAATACGTTCTTTGAATAATTCTGGGGATTTTTGAGTTTGAGCTTAGGATGCCTTACCTAAGGAGCGAAGATCAAAGTTCACCTCGGTGAACGACGAAGGGAGTCCCGGTCTGCACTGATGATGTGTACGCGGGCCATCCCGTGCGAAAGCTAGGTAGCTACTGCATAGCTCCTAGCTGGCGGGAAACAATAGGCTCAGCATCATTTCTATTTTCGGCTGTTGGTCCTCCATGATTCTTGTTTGCACCATCCAACAGTCATCCATCTGCTTTGCCTAAGTTTTCCTGTTTTCTTTCTCTCCGTGTTCTCCATTCATCTCAGACAATAGCCTGTCCGTTGGTTCATCTAGTGCCGAGTCAATCAGCGTTGCTTTTCCCACCTTGGAAGCTGTGCCGTATCAAGGTCGGGTGTTCCTCCGCTCCAGCCACCTCATTATTCGGACGAGTACAGACAGCAGCAACTTTTTTTTTCTGCGTCAAGGCTGTTTGGAGGGCAGATAGCTTGAGCTGGTAGGTAGCTTCGGGGGTGGCTACCCCATCTAATCGGTGTTACAAACGCAGAAAGCATTCGGTGCCGTATCTGCTGCTGCCGCTGCTGCTGCCGCTGCTGCTGCCGCCCTCGGGTTGGCCTCGATCCTTACTCCCATTAGAATTCGGTGTGATTCAGCCACCCGGATTTTCGGACGTGATGGTTATTCTTGATATTCTTGCAGCCCCATCGTCCGAAAAGTCCCATGCATCCCTCCATTTCGGATTATCACATCTTGGCTGACGGGAAACGGTACTTGTTGCTGCTGCTGCTGCTGTTGGCCTGTGAAGACGGGGAAGGGGAGGGAGAGAGCCAGGCCGTGAGAGGTCGGTCGGCATGGGAAGCTGCAGCAGGCACAGGGTAGCAAGCAAGCTGGATCCCAACCTTCGGATGGGCGAGATGGCGCGATGGAGACGCAGGTAAGCTGCAGAGGGGAGTCGTGGTCACTGGTCAATGGGATAGCTCAGGGCCATTCAGTGGGCTCCATTCCGACCGCCTCTTTGTTTGCGTGTGCTGTCTGTCTGAGGCCCTTTAGCTTTGGCTCCATCGCGGCTGTCCGTAAGGTGGAAGTGGAAGAAGGGAAGGAGGAGCTGCCACGCTGCCCACTCGACTAGCAGGTCCTACTCCGTACCTACCTAAGGTAAGGTAGGTGAGGTATCCGTAGCTCAGCAAGCTCTTGTCAGCCCAATCGATGACAGTCATGACACGCCTGGTTTGGCAGCAGGAGCAGAACAGACTCACGACCCTGGTCTCAGAGCCAGGATTATCTCCGCCCAAGCCGCCCCCAACCCTGGTCAAGCTGCTCGTTCTTAACCCGACTGGGCCACCAAATGACGCCGTAACACAACCCGTCAACCTCGCCATTTTCTTAGGTCTCGATGCTTGAGTCGCAGCGACGGAGGTGGGAGACGGAAGAAAAAAAAAAGACAAGCTCCTCTTTTTCCCGTCCTTCTCCAATCTCTGGCCTGCATCTAAACGGTTTCTTCTTTTTCAATCTCTACTCCAGCATTCTCTTCTCGTACGGATACCTCAACGCAACGCAACGCAACCTCGCCTCGGCGACTCTCAAACTTGGCGAGCCCTGTCTTGCATCTGCTGGCCGACCCTCCGTTGCGCGCGCGTGTCTGCATCGCATTGGCTGCTATGGCAAGCTGCATATGTCTTTAGACGCCCGGCCTTTTTTTCCCTACCGCTAGATTGACACTTTTGTTCCCTGCCTCGGGTAGACTGTAGGTTTGGCATCCCACGGACGGTACAGATACACGCATCGACTGCACCGGTCCTGCGCGCGCCCAGTCCTTTCCAGTCGATAACCGTCCTGCAGCCCAATTATAGCGCCGCTGCAAGTCAAAAAAATAATTCACCTCACACGCAGCTGGCTCGGCACCAGACCAGACAAGACAAGACAGCATTGATATTAGCCTCCTGTCGCCATGCCGAGTGCGCCATATTGGGGCGATCTGTCGGGCCCCAAATCTGCCAGACGCCAGCGACGCCAGTCTGAGGATTTTAGTCTGCCAGAACGCAGACCATCTCCCATTGATCAGCTGGACCCTATGACAACGGACAAACCTCTTCCTGCCCCTCCCCCAAAGTCAAACCGCACCTCTCTCCAGACGACAAACACCGAGGCCGTCACCGAGTCGACCCTCAGTCCCTTCGTCTCACCTACAGCCTCCAACTTCCCAGACGAAGGCCTTGCCCCGCGCCCGCCTACCTTTCCCTACGGCGAGTCGCAATACCCAGAAGACCAGCAGGCCGAGAGGCGCCAGCGACGACGCAGAGAGCGCAACGAGCAGGAGGAGATTTCTCCCATCGAGCCCTACGACCTGCCCGCGGGCGCCACGCCTCCAGCAGCTCCAGATGTGCCCAAGGGCCCTCCCGTGAGCTACAGACACCCGTACGGCAACGGCGGGCTGCCTTATACACATGCCGCCTCAGGATCTCGCCCTCCGCGACACCCCAGCCCGCTGGTGAGCCCAGACGACGGAGACATCATGAATCCCGAGGGATACTACAGGGACCCCGCGCCCGAGAGAGAGGCTGCGCCGCCGCTGCCGCAGGTACAGCAGCAACACCAGCAGCAGAACCCGCCGCTCGATCGCGCCCAGACGCTCGATGTAAACGAGAAGCCCCGCGAGTCCAAGGGCTCGTCGAGAAGGAGGTCAGAAGGACATAGGAAATCTTCAGGAGGAGGATCCAGAAAGTTCGCCAACGACCGCTCTCCGCTTCAAAGACTCGAGCTGACGCTCGACAGCATCACCAAAGAGGAGAAGCGAGCTCGTGTCGAGGCTGCGGAGCGCCGCGCGAGAGAGAAGGCTGCGGCAGCTGCGGCGCAGAACCCCGACCTCCTCCAACCTCCTGAAGCAACACACCGCGCGCCGCGATCGAAGCCACGGCAACAACAGCAACAACCGCCCGTGATCAAGCAGGAGCCTCAAAGGCCGCTTCCTGAACCTCCCCAGCAACCGACCGCTTCGGTTCCGCAAGTGCGATTCAGTGACGTTTCGTACGACGAGGATGACTGGCGGGGCACAGCGCCTGAGCAGCAGGCCAATGTCGCTGCTCCCAGAGGAGCCCCTCCGCAACACCACCCAGAAGACAGACGGCATGCGCCGGCGCGCGTGTCGCTCGATGATGCGCGGCGGCAGCCTCGATATGTGTCGGAAGAGGAAGGGTACTATGGTGGCCAATATCAGCAGAGAGCGCCTGCGATGGCTGCTACAAGACATGCGCCAGCTCCCTCCGGGGGTGTTCCTCAGAGAAGTGTCAGCTTGCGTGAAGAACCTAGACAGGCGCCACCAGAAAACTCAGGCATTCCTAAGCGTAACTTGAGCTTCCGTGAGCGCGCTGCAAAGAATGATCTGAACCTCCCCAAGGCCGCTGTTGACAGAGACCTGAGCCCAGAGACGAGTCCTGAGCCGACCCCGCCGGTGAAGGGTTCTCGAAGACCTAGCTGGTCTCTCACTAGGAGTGGGAGCAACAAGCTTAAGAAGCAACCAAAGGGTGACCCGTGGTTCAACATTCGACAGGATGCTGAGAAGAAGTATGAGAACATCGACTTCCGCAATGCGGCGTTGGATCAGTCGGCGGCTGCGAAAGGTGGCCCTCCCGTCAAGAGGTCCGCGTCGCACGCGGCGCATGAACAGGCATTGCCCCCGGACGCCACGCATGAAGAGGTCAGACGAGCCGGGATTCCCAGTAAGGCTGCGAGGTTAATTGGCATTGAATCTGGAGGAGTCCAACGACGTGCTACGGCACCTATCAGTCGCCGTGATTATGAGCACGACGACGAGGCTTACTTTGAGCCCGTCGCATCAGGTGGCCGTGGCGATGAAGCTCAGCACACGTCTCACAAAGCGGCGACTGAGCGCGGCAGACAGTATGAGAGGGACTACTACTCTGACGACGAGGAGTACGATGAGCGCGGTCACCGCATCACCAACAAGCTGTATCACGGCCGCGACAGCTTCCGCCCTGGCGAGGGTACGTACAAGCCGCCCAAGTACCTCGACGAGTGGAAGAAGGCAACAGTTGGCAGTTTGTCTGGCTCCCTTCTGGATCTCAGCGACGATCAACTTCCCACCCTCGATAAGAACACGCCGTGGTGGGAGGGAAGTGGAAAGCGCAGAGGAAGCGCCTCTCGGCCGCGCAAGGCGGAAGCATTTGATGGCGAGTACGATGAGACCAATGGTAAGTACTGTGACGGCGAGGCCAATCAATAATGCTAACAAGTGGCAGCTCCCACGAGGTTCAAACCACCACTGTATCTCAAGTGTGGTCCTCTGTTGAGGTACTGCGGACTGAAGCACGAGAAGATCCCTCCCCGCGCCAGGAACGCTGCGGCCACTGAGCGAACCATGTGGCGTGGCTCAGTGATGATCGTGACGCAGGACAGCGATTCTTCGTACGAGATTGCGCCGACCTTGCGGTTGTTTGTGCAGCCCCTTGAGCTGCTTCCACCGCCACCGCAGATCATCCCCGGAGAGCAGGACCTGCCTCCGGAGTACGTGGACCCGATTGCAGGCATGCCGAAGCTGGGCAGACGGGGCGAAACTCTCTACGTCCGACCCGTAGACCACCTCGAGGAGGCGAAGGACTTGTCGAGAGACGAGACAGACAATGGCCTGTTTGAGAAGACAAAGAGTCCCCCGGATGTCCCGCCGGCGGATGGGTCTCTGGACTACCCTGGATCTTTCTCAAGTCGCCGCAAGCGTGTCAAGCTCGATGGAGAAAAGGTCTCCAAGTACAAGGACGTCCGCGGATTCCGACTGCACTCAGAGCGTGGCTGCACCTTCTGGCGCTTCAACATTGAGATTGAACTCCGCGAG